TCAACATGAAACAAAATCAGAAATTGCTGGACAAACTGAGCAGGTCTGGCAGCATGTGGAGAGAAAACAGAATCAGAATTTTGTGTCCAGTGATCCTACATGGCCCAGCAGGGGAAAAGTCCACATAAATGTTTAACTCCCAAAAAAATTCAAGTTGAGAAGTCATCCAGCTCCAGCACTTTCACTGGCATTGGTAATACAATTAGGGTTGAGACTTGGAAGGAAGTTAAAAAAAAACATTTCTGAGGCCAATATTTGACATGAAGGCCTTGACCTTTCAAATTCAATTTGAACTGAGAAAGTCTTGTGCTCATTGCCAAGGGCAGGAAGAGGAAGTGACATTATTCAGGAGGTCATTGGTTACAAATTGGTCCCTCCTGTATTCATGACCAGTGGAACAATATGTCAGAGTAAGAGGTATCCGTAAAAAATTCCACACTCCCCCAAAAACCTGTGGGTCAACAAATATCCCTGGCGCTGATTGGAGATCGGACACTTATAGCCACATGGCCAAAATGTTAAAAAGAATTAAGTCAGACAGGGTCATCTGTGCATGACTCCCAGCTCTCAGTGAAAAGGTAACAACAGTGCTCCTCGCAGGTTCTCAGCGGAGAGTTTGCAAAGTGGAATACGTTGGAACCTGAAGCATGACAATTGTTGCACTGTGACTTGTGAAGGGAACAAGTGTATATCTTTGGTCAAAACCAAAATTGTAGTTTTCGCATGGCCCTTTGTTTAACCTCAAGCTCTTCCCCAGGAGATCGCTTTGGAAAGTTTGGCATATCCATGATTGTGTCTTGTGTACAGTTTTCAACCACCTTGGCCTAAAGGGGCTGCACAGAGAAAACGTGAGACATTCACCACCGAAGGTAAAAGCAAAACTGCACTCAGTGAAACTGGTATCCATTGCTCCAGCAGCCTGTATCATTCATGCAAACTATCCAACACTAAAGCTGACACCACCAACAACCAAGGAAAACATCACTAAGTTCCCCATCACACATTTTCACCCTTGGTCACATCACCTCAAGGGATTCCGATGCGGTGCTAATTTGCTGAACCCAAATGTATTTTTACTTTCATTTGACCAACTCCAGAACAAATATTTACAGTACACACTCACTGGCTAACTGCACTGTTATGAATATGATTCCTCCTGCTGTGCATCTACAAAAATAATATTCAAGATCAGACCAGTGCCAAAATACTTGCTGAAGCTGGATTGAGTGGCGTAAGTTCAATGAGCGAATTGGATGAGATTTTGGTGGAAGTGTTTATCATGTAACAAATGTAACAGAGATGACTTAGAGAAGTTTCCCATTCCCACTGCCCGTAGTTAATTGTACAAATCAGAACCAGTAACAGGAGGGCTCATGCCTTGGAACCACAGGTCAGATATTCTGGCCAGCAATGCCCGAGAGACTGCAACCAAAATGGATCAAAAAGTCATTGGCAGCATAAATCCAAGTTTCTGAATTGGGTTACTAGCGTGCAAAATGGTACAGAATCATAACATAACCATTCACTAACAGACCCTAAAACACCCAATCCCAACTTTCACTGTCATTCTCACGCTGGTAGACATAACACAATCAAGGGAAAAGTGAATCCCATGCTTCTTTGCTCTTGCTCTGTTCCCAGGGAGTGCTGGCACGTTCATTACTCTGACATTTCCATTTCCCATGGCAGCCATCTTCCTGGGCTCTCTGAACAATAATGCCAAACACTAACTGCAGGGAGACCGTGTGTGACCCCTCCTCTGAGTCATGTTGTCCAAACTGACTTCACAGAGGTTACCACAGCCAACAGGAGGAGAGGACATTCTTCAAACCAGCTTAGAGAGGGAATTCCAGAGCTAAGGCAGCTAAAGGTGTGGCCACCAACGGTGCAGTGATTATAACCAGGTATGCTCAAGAGGTCAGTATCAGAATGGTGCAAATATCTCAGAGATCTACAGGACTGGAGGAGAATACAGAGATAGAGAGAGACAAGCTCCCAAAAAGGATTTAAATTAAAGAGGAGAACCATGTAGATTAGCAAGCACAAGGGTGATTGGGTGAATGAGGCTTGGTGCGAAATAGCACGAGGACCAATGTTTCAGTTGGCCTTGGGTTTGTAGAGGGCAGATTGTGGGAAGCTAACTTTTGGTGTGTCGAATTGGTCAACTCCAGAGGTAACAAAGGCACGAGTGAGGGTTTTACCACTAGACGAGCTGAGACAAGGGTCCTGCCAACTGATGTTATTAAGGTGGAAATAGGCTGTCTTATTGTCTTAGTGATATCTTAGGGATATGGAGTCATCAACTCATCTCACTGTCTAAAATGAACCCAAGGTTGTGAACTGTCTGATCTATCCTCAAACAGTTAGCAAGGAGAAGGACGGAGTTGAATAGAGATTGGAGATAGTCCAAAGTCAATGGATATGGTATTCCAATAATGAACAGGAGGACATAACTGCTCATCCACTGTTGGATGTTGGATATGCAAACTGGCAATTTAACGACAGCGGAAGTGTCAACAGCAATCGTGGAAAGATTGAAATGAGTTCATTACTGGTCCTGTGTGTTTCAGATGGTGCGGTTGAAGGGCCACATATAGTTGAAAAATTAGCTGTCTAGGTTCCACAAATAATGTGGTAAACAGAACAAGACTCCAATCCCTCCAAGTCAAACAGCAGTTGCTTCTGCAATCTGTGGAATATTTCACTAGGCACAAGCTGTAACGTCCAATAATAACCCTGTCCTTACAATATCCTACAATGTTCTGGTCACAGCTGTCTCAAGTTTTAATTTTACTAGTCAAGAGTAATTTGCAAACACCTAAATACAGAAGGAACCTTTGTAAGACTCAATCTAATCTTTAAATAAACATTGCTGAGGATGTTTAATAGGAAACTAAATCCACTGTACTAATTTAATTACTTTAGTAATCCTGTTTCCGATAATAGAGTCAGACTTGCTTTAAACATCCTTCACCTGTTTAGCTGCAGAGAGACAATAATGAAAGCTGGAATACTCAAATTTGCTTTAAAAGCAAACAGACCATTTATAGGTGTTTTTTAATTGTAAAAATTCACGTACCAAGGTCTATTATGAAGTTTCATAACAGTGTTAAAAAGTAACCCTTTCTTCACTTTTACTCACAGCTTACAATTCTCCTTCATCTGTATTTACAATAATAATTGGGAGACAGATGAAAAATTATGTCAAAATGATACAACCCAGAGTTTATCAGCAAGACAACTGAAGTTGGCGCCATTGTGAGTCACGATCATTTTGCCTGAACTTTGCTGATCTATTTCATTCCTTTCTGAATGTCCTGTTTTTAGAAATAAACCTTGTTCAAGTCACCCGTCTTTTATAATGTGACATGAATTTCACCGATTTATTACTTTCAGAAAACTGAATCATTTCCTTAGTGTGCCCAAAATTCCAACAATGGGGGAGGGAGAAGCGTCATGTACAAATGGTCGGAATATTGAGTATAGGAGTTGGGACGTCATGTTGCAGCTCAACAGGACACTGGTGAGGCCATTTTTGAATACTGGCAGAAGCTGTAACGCCCAACAATAACCTTGTTCTTACGATATCCTACACACTGGTCACAGCTGTCTCAAGCTCTGGTCGCCCTTCTACAGGAAGAATATTGTTAAATTTGAGAGGGTGCAGAAAAGATTTACGAGGATGTTGCCAGGATTGGATGGCTTAAGTTATAGAGAAAGGCTGAATAGGCTGGGGCTATTTTCTCTGGAGACTGAGGAGTGGCCTTATACAGGTTTATGAAATCATGAGGGGCACGGTCAGGATGAATAGCCAAGGTCTTTTTCCGAGGGTGTGGGGGTCCCAAAACTAGAGGGCGTAGGTTCAAGGTGAGAGGGAAAAGATTTAAAAAGGACCTGAGGGGTAACTTTTGCACACAAAGGGTGTGGAACGAGCTGCCAGAGGAAGTGGTGGAGGCTGGTACATTACAACATTTAAAAGGCATCTGTCTGGGTACAGGAATGGGAAGGGCTTAGAGGGATATGAGCCAAATGCTGGCAAATGGGACTAGGTCAGATGGGGGTGCCTGGCGGAGATGGAACAAAATGTCTGTTTTAGTGTTATATGACTTCTAAGTGAAAACAGGGTTACAGCAGTCTATGGGATTGATGATGGTGGTAGTCAGTTAATTGAGTTCACTAGAGGGCTAGAGTGTGATGAAGAATGATATAATAACACGTGCTCACTCTCTGTAACAGCTCTGGTCAGTCAGTTATGCCTCCTCACCCTATCTCAAGTTTGTAGATTGGTGCCCTCAAGCTATACATAACTAATTAGCTCTCCCAAATACATATGGCCCTATGTCAACTGTGAGTTAAATACATAAATTTATCGGTTTTCACCCTAAGCAAAATGACTGGCTTTAATTCATTCATTGAAAATTACCTAAAATATAATCTTATCATGCAATTCATATCATCCAAAGTATTTTCGCTTTGTGAAAAAGTTTTAATACTGTGAGAATAAAATTAAACAATAGGGAATTAGCACAAAGAAAGGAGTTTAGTTGAATCTTTTAAACCAGTGGGCAATGGATTTGTTGAATAATTACCAGGGTTGACCATTGAAGTGCTTTAAAGTAATTCAAGAAAGAATTGGGGGTATTTCTAAGAAATTGAATTGCGGAATATGGTGGGAAGCTGATTCTCCATTTCTGACAGTTTGTAAATTTCACATTATCGTCAGATCATATTCCTCGCCGGTAAAACTGGAATGTTCACGGAAATGAAATTTTCACAAGTGGTCTAAACTAAAGCTAATAGTACAAGTCACCAAGATTAAGCCTCTTTATTTCAGTGGTTGATGTTCCAACACAAAGGAACAAATAATCTGCAATTACTGCAACATAACTGTAGCAGCGGATAAGCAGAAATCCCAGGGTATCTGGACTCTCCTGCAGAAAGTTATGGTGGTTGATCAGGAGGACCCCCTGAGTAAATTCTGCCACTTGCTTTTACTGTACCTGCAACTTGAGTAGATGCAATGAAATGGGTCAGACTGGAAGTAGACACATCTGGAGCAATGTGGACCGGGTTCGGGGGTGAGGTTTTTTCCACCACTTCTGTTATAAAGTAAGAACAAAAGAAAATCTAAACGTCAAAACATAAAGTAGTGTGGCTGTTTATTTTTACTTTTAATTAAATGCAGCTTAAATTCACTAAGGGCAGCAGATTCAACACGGGCAGGAGAGTTCAAAACACACTCTCACAGGTTATAGTCAAAGTCTGGGTCAGGGTTAGGGGTGAGGGTGAGGATGAGGCTTATTTAAACATAGAAACAAAGAAGATGGAACCAGGAGGAGGTCATTCGGCCATTCAAGACTGCTCTACCATTCATCGCGATCGTGGCTGATCGTCCAACTCAATAGCCTAAACCTGCTTTCTCCCCATAACCTTTTTAAGATTGTGACAGGAACAATCATGCAAAGACAAAAGAAAAATGTTGCAGGGAAAGAAGCCTTTTTACAATATGCACCCAAACAAGATCCCCCCGCCAAGGACAGGTCAGAGCACAGAATCGGAGAGCAGCCTCATCATGGTATATGTTACTGGGTAAGTAACCCAGAGACCTGGATGAATACTCCAGTGCCATGGGTTCAAATCCCACCATAGCAGCTGATTAATAAATCTGGAATTAAAAAGCTGGTCTCAGAAACAGTCATCATGAGACTGGCAGATTGTCATTAAAAACCCATCTGATCTACTCTTTGGAGCAGGAAATCTGCTGTCCTTATCTGGTCTGGCCTACACAAGACTCCACAGCCAGAATCATACAGGTGATTCTGATCGAAAAGCCCTAGCAAGGCACACAGTGTGACAAACGCTGCACTCTGGGTGCATCTGGGCTAAAGAAGTTGAGGAGGTGGTTCACCACCACCTTTCTCAAGGGTATTTAGGAACAGGCAATAAACACTGGCCACATCTCAAGCAGAAATTAGTGCTGGCAGCACCCATAGTGTCTGGGCCTTGAGGAAATGTGTGAGAGGAGAATTTGGAAAAGAACGGAGGAAAAGATCTTCCCTGCTCAGCTTGTCCCGTTAAAATTTAGCAATTATTTAAACTGACAGCACCATCAAATTCAATCGTAGAACTGCAAGTTATGTTCGTGGTTCTGATGGATTTCAAAATGCAGATCAACACCTGACACAGACAACAATCAACAGATAAAAGCATCCAACAAACCACAAATAGAACAACTGCTATATCCACTGCGGCTACAGCTGCAAAGACAGCAGGGTTGAGGGGAGAATTGAATCAATGCATAGTAATAGTTGGTTGTGATATAAAGAGAACATACCAGGGAAGCCAGAGTTTATCTGGATGGTTGTAATGCTGGGCGATAGCTGGGGCAGGCCAGATTCCACAACGCGCTCATCTTTTACAAGTTCCTAAATTCAATGAAAAGATGATGTTACGTTTCATTTTAAAGGCAGACAAATTTTGATGAAACGTTAGTATGATAGACTTAGTATTTTTATAGGAAAGAATGAGAATGCTGACACATCCAGTGATTACTACATCTGAATAAAAAACCCTCTTAAGATCAGGCACTACAATTAAATGCCACTTGTATGTCCCAGTCTGTTTATTTTATTTTTTGGATTCCTCAGATTGTGACATTCACAACTCCTTTGCTTTTGTCCTGCTCTCCTTCTCTTTTTCCTCCCTTCAGAGTTGTCTAACCCTCGCCCTACTTCACTGCTCTCAATCCTACATTGCACTTTTGCTTCCCTCTTCATCCAAATATCCCTTCTCTTCCAGAACAGTTGCCTTGTTATCCTCATCTTCTTCTGTCTTCCTTCCTTCCTGCCACACTTTCCATTTCCTCATAGAATCCCTACAGTATGGAAACAGGCCCTTCGCCCCAACAAGTCCAAACTGACACTCAAGAGAATCCCACTCAGACCCATTCCCCCTAATCTACACATCCCTGAAAACTACGGGCAATTTAGCATGGCCAATCCACCCTAACCTGCACATTTTTGGATTGTGGGAGGAAACCGGAGCACCCGGAGGAAACTCACGCAGACATGGGGGGAATGTGCAAACTCCACACAGACAGTCGCCCGAGGGTGGAATCGAATCCAGGTCCCTGGCACTGTGCGGCAGCAGTGCTAACCACTGAGCCACCCTGCTGCCCCTTTCTAATTTTGATTTCTTCTTCTTTTCTGTCTCTTGCTTTTCCTTCCCTCATGTCTTTCTCTCCTTCTTCCCTTTTCCTCCCCACTTTGGGCCCTCTTCTTCCTGTACTTTGAGCTCTCTCCTCCCTTCATGAGTCCCTCTATCTCTCCTTCACCACACCCTTTATCCCCTCCTTCATTCATATCTCTCTCTCCCCTATTCTGCCTCTCTACTCTCTTTCTGGAGGGGGTGAGGATTTCCTAAACTGTAGAGTGCACAAACATGACTTGCAGGGTTGGTACTGAAGTTTGGTTTGGACATTTCCATTCTGCAATCTAGAATTAATCAAATTAACACCCCAGCACTGAAGAGTATTCAGTCGTCTGGTTCAAGGTATGCCACAGTGCTTTCATTAAATGGAATTGGAGACCACCAGGATAGCAACAAATGATCATAACCCATGGGATTCAAGAACAAACCAGAGTGCCATTCAAACACTTATCAGCATTTACTAACTAAACTAACAGCGACAGTTGTTTTTCTTTGAGTTATGGAGGTTATTATTAAACTTACATCAGAAGTTTATAACTCGCTCAGAGATAGCAAGAACTGCAGATGCTGGAGTCAGAGATAACACAGTGTGGAGCTGGAGGAACGCAGCAGGCCAGGCAGCATTAGAGGAGCAGGAAAGTTGACATTTCTGACGAAGGGTCCCGACCCGAAACATCAACTTTCCCGCTCCTCTGATGCTGCCTGGCCTGCTGTGCTCCTCCAGCTTCACACTGTGTTACATCAGAAGTTTACAGCTTGTTATGTCTGACTGGTTCAGGAAAATCAATTACCATTGGTCAGATTTTTCCAGTGGCAGAAGCAACGAGTGCCTAGATGTTGGGATCTGACGTATGTTTTGACCTGTGCAGATGCTCAGAACATACCTGGGATGTTTAAACGTCTGACAGGCAGAATTCCATCCAGGTCCCTCTGAGAATATCGGATGGTCAACGGTTGTATTTGTGTGAAAATAAAAGCAAACCTCCATGAAAATTTGCTGCTTCAGTCTCCACAGGGAATGCACTCAGAGGGATGCCTGCTCACAAAACCCTCAGCCACACACTCATTAGACCTCTCACTGTGGGATGGCTATAAGCCTCAGTGTGTGTGGGAGTCTTATTGCCTTGGATTCAATTGGCACCATATCTCTAGAATGGGTTGGACAGATTTTCAAGCGTAACTCTGTGTAGCTGATGCAGTTACAAAACTGAAGCATTCATATTGAACAACCTGTAATTACAATCATCGCATTAAAGTCACATAGCCTACCTGTTCAGGTGTGCTGGTGGCCACTGGAATGAAGAGTTTGAAAAAGTGATTAATTCGGGAATATTGTAGAGATTTCTCACGTTGATACATGTACAAAGGCAGCATTTCAATTCAAATGATAGAAAATTAAGTGGTATACTTCAGATCGATGCATGATTTTGGAGAACTTTAGACTAATAAAAGATTTTAAAAAGCAAACAGAATTTACACCTCCCCACTTGAGAGAGCAGCAGAGTGGGCAAGATAGCAAAACTGCTCATCTTGTAAGATAATACACTCCTTCCCAACTTAAAAAAAATCCCATACATCAAAACACAAAATGGTACATGACTAAATTAAAACACTGCCTAAAATTTAACTAGTTATGTTCGACAAGAGTATAGTAAGATCTCCAGATGCTGGAGTCAGAGATAACACAGTGTGGAGCTGGAGGAACACAGCAGGCCAGGCAATATCAGAGGAGCAGGAAAGCTGACGTTTTGGGTCGGGACTCTTCTTCAGAAATGTGGGAGGGGGAAGGGAGTAGGGAAATAAATAGGGAGGAGGGGTGGGGCTGGGGAAGTAGGTGGGATGGTGAAAAGTGAGTGCAGGTAGGGAGTGGTGGGGATTGGTCAGTGGGATGGGTGGGGCAGGTAGCTGGGAGAGAAGATGGACAGGTTGTGTCAGGTCAAAGAGGCAACTTAACCCCATGCCGATGATCAAAAATGCCCTCAACCACATCTCTTGCATTTCTTGCACTTTTGCCCTCAAACCCGTCCCCCCAACAAAAATGAAGACAAAATCCCCCTTGCCCTCACATACCATCCCACCAACTTCCACATCCAGCACATCATTCTCCGCCACTTCCATCACCTGCAATCTGACCCCACAACCAAAGATATATTTCCCTCCCCACCCCTATCTGCCTTCCGGAGGGACCGCTCACTCTGCGACTCCCTCGTCCGCTCCACACTCCCCACCAACCCCACCACCCCCGGCACCTTTCCCTGCAACCACAGGAAGTGCTACACCTGCCCCTACACCTCCTACAGCCCGATGGCCTAAACATGGAATTCACCAGCTTTAAAATCTCCCCACCCCCGGCCTCATCCCATGTCCCTCCCTCTCATCCCTACCTCCTTGACCTGACCTCACCTCCATCCAAGGCCTAAAGCAAACCTTCCATATCAGACAGGGGTTCACCTGCACATCTGTAAACTTGGTCTACTGTATCCACTGCTCCCGATGTGGCCTCCTTTACATCGGTGAGACCAAGCGGAGGCTCAGCGACCATTTCGCACAGCATCTGCACTCTGTACATAACAAACAACAACACCTTCCGGTCGCCAACCATTTTAACTCCCCCTCCCACTCCCTGGGTGACACGCTCATCCTGGGCCTCCTCCAGTGCCACAATGACACAACCCACAAACTGGAAGAGCAACACCTCATTTTCCGCCTCGGGAGCCTACAGCCCGATGGCCTAAACATGGAATTCACCAGCTTTAAAATCTCCCCACCCCCGGCCTCATCCCATGTCCAACCCTCCCTCTCATCCCTACCTCCTTGACCTGACACAACCTGCCCATCTTCTCTCCCACCTATCCGTCGCACCCAAACCACTGACCAATCTCAACCACTCCCTATCTGTATCTACCTATCATCATCCCACCTACCTTCCCTAGACCCACCCCTCCTCTCTCTATTTATTTCAGAGCTCCATTCCCGCTCCCTATTTCTGAAGAAGGGTCCCAACCCAAAACATCAACTTTCCTGCTCCTCTGATGCTGCCTGGCCTGCTGTGCTCCTCCAGCTCCATACTGTGTTGTCTAGTTATGTTCCATATTTGTTTTTACTGTAATCACAACCAATACACCTGATCAATAATTACAGAGCAAGCAACAGGTAAAAAATATTTGTCCTTAACACTAGAACATGTTTAATAAAAATAAAACTTTTGATAAGAAATAGTGAAGAGAACAACCTGCCTGCTTTCTTTTTCTTTCTGTACAGGGATCTCCTTCTACTCCCATGAGTGTGATTCTGCTCTCTCAATATCTCTAGACTGTTTCAAACCTCAGCTTTGACATTGAATACCAATTCCACTCCATAGTTGGGACTCTGACACTGATTAATCAAAGACGTTGATTCGCTGCACTGCTGTGGTGGATTCTGTAACACCCAGCAAACTGCCGATTTCCTTTTCAGTTTTGCTTTGGACAATGGGAGGTATTTGGATTATAGGAGGTTTATCCTGCTCTCCCTTTGTCAGATTTCTTCTTTCATGCAATCGTTCAACATGACACTAACGAAGTCTCCCTCTATGCATCTAGTCTCTTTATAATACAATATGATTCAAGATTTCAATAATTTCAGTATAGCCAGCAATGCTGTTGCCTTGCAGATAACACTGGTTTGACGCAACATCAAAAGATCTGAGGAAGGGTCACCGGACCCGAAACGTTAACGCTATTTTTTCCTTCACAGATGCTGCCAGACCTGCTGAGCTTTTCCAGCAACTTCTGTTTTTGGTCAAAAAATCTAGCTCCATCATGGTGAACAAAATTCTCACTTTATTGTTATCTCCTACTTTATTTGTTTTCTACCAAATGTGTAACTTTCATTCACAACTATATCTGTTTGAGTTAACTGTCCTAATGTTCCCAAACATATCTTTTCTTTCATTTCACAGGTTTAACATTATGGCTTTTATTTTGTTTGCTCTACTCTTATTTATTAGATCCTTGAACACTATTTCACAGTTTTACTTCTCACTTTTAGAATTTGGATATACAAATCCCTGTGTCGCTGCTTTTAAACTTTCACGATTTTGCATCAATTTCCTCCGCTGTTACGCACAAAATACACCAGCTGACATTTCTCTCCACTCAACCGCATCTGATATCCTTCTGCTTTTGTCAGTAACTCACCTCAGTTTGTCTTTCTGTCTGAAGTCACTGAGTCACACTCACAATTAACCACACTCCCTGTCCTCACCGTCTTTGCAAATTTGATACTGTGACCATTATATCTAAATCCAAATCATTGAAACAGGTGGAGTAACAGTGGAGGCTCTTTGAAGCAAAAAGTTGTAGGTTTCTGTCCCAGTTTAAGAGTTGAGCACAAAAGTCAAGTCCACTGCTGCACTGAGGGAGTGCTGCACTGTTGGAGGTGCAGTCATTTGGATAAGATGAGGTTCCACCTGCCTGCTCAGACAGACATAAAGCTCTCATGGCATTAATTCAAAGAAGAGCACGGGAGTTCTCCTCAGTATTCTGGACATTATTTGTCCCTCGATCTGCACCACACAGAAACAAGTAACTTGGTCATTATCACATTGTTAGCCAAGTTTCATAAAAGGTTGGTGGAAAACATGTTACTCTACGATACCAACATGCAATCAAAACAGAAACAGAAGACTGACAATCCCATACAAACAAGGAACGAGAGCAGGCCACTCAGCCCTTTGAGCCTGTCCCATCATTCCATTAGATCACGGCTGATCTAGTTGTAACCTCAATTGTACATTCATATATATCCTCCACAATCTTTCATCCCTCTGGTAATCAAGAATCTATCTCACGCTGCCTTAAAAATATTTAAAGACGTTTCATCCACTGCCTCTTGAGGAAAGTAATTCCAAACATTCACAACCCTCAGACAGAAGAATGCTTCCTCATTTCTGTTTTAAACTTAAACCCATTATTTTTTAAACTTTGACCCCTAGTTCTGGTTCTCCCACAGGAGGAACTATCTTTTCAACATCCAACCAGTCAAATCTCCTCAGGATCTTATATGCTTCAATTAAGTCACATCCCACTCTTCTAAACCCTAGAGGATACAGGCTGAGCTTGTCTAGCCTTTCCTCATAAGGCAATCTGCTTATCCTAGGGATTAGTTTAGCAAAATGTTCTCTGAACAGATTCCAACATGTTAACATCCTTCTGTAAGTATGGTGACCACTACAGTACATAATGTTTGTCCTAATGTTTACCCTGGCGTTAGACGACTGTATAAATGTCTTCGGTCTTAAAAAGGCATCTTTTTTTTTCCATCCTTTACACAAATTCCCAATCAAAGTGTAATATTTCATTTGCTGGGACACCGTGCATTTATCGTATGGCCCTGTATGATACTTTAGCAACTGTCTATTGAAAATTCATATTTGCAATGTTCACATTCTTTGTGCAGATTTCAAATATTCCACAACCTTAATGTGATGATGAGCAGGGGAGCTCCCCAGGTAATCTCCTTCATATTTATCTCTCAACCAACATCACTAAAAAACAGATCATTTGATCATTTTAACAATATGTTTGTGAGAGCTTACTGTGCACAAATCGGCTGCAACGCCTCCTACCTTACTACAATCGTGACTCAACTTCAAAAAAAAAGTTCACTAGCCATGAGGAGAATTGGGACACTGTGAGGCTATAAAGGGTGCTATACAAATGCAAGTCTGCCTTTGACAACACAACATTAGTTACGCAAATAAATATGTAAGATATGCCCCACCATTTCACCAATTTGTACCTACAGAGTGGCACCAATAGCTGTTGCTATCACCACTCAGTGATATCAGGGAACTGAGAAGAAAGCAAAATAAGTAGATTGGGAAGCACTAAACTTAAAGACACCTTAACCAAAATTGCCACTGCTCGCACTTGCAGAATCTCTCTGAACCACAGGTTTGCAACATGACTGATGTTAAAATTGTAACTTTAGAGATCATAGAATCCTTACAGTGTGGAAACAGGCCCTTTGGCCCAACGGGTCCACACTGACCCTCAGAGCATCCCACCCAGACTCATCCCCCTATAACCCACCTAATCTACACACCCCTGAACACTACAGGCATTTAGCATAGCCAATCCACCTAGCCTTTGGATTGTGGGAGGAAACCCATGCAGACACAGGGAGAATGTGCAAACACCACTCAGACAGTAGTCTGAGGCTGAATTGAACCTGGGTCCCTGGTGCTGTGAGGCTGCAGTGCTAACCACTGAACCACTGTGCCACCCTGACTCTTTATTCTTCAAAAGTA